TTGAGAAGTTGTAATATTATAAATTCCATAATTCCCAGAAAAAAATAAATAAATAACAAAGTTCAAAATTTAGGAGAAAAAATAGGAACTTTATAGACTCTATAAATAATAACACATTTCTGCTGTCCTCTGTTGTTGTTTGTCTGTGCTGACTCAGTGTTTTCTGTCCACAGTGGCATTCTCTGACCAAAGAGGAACAGGCCAAATATTACGAACTGGCTCGTAAAGAGAGACTCCTCCACTCCAAACTGTACCCGGGCTGGTCGGCCAGAGACAACTACGTGAGTCCATCTGCCGCCTGTTCACCATTATTCTGTCTATTATTATTATTATTATTATTATTATTATTATTATTCATAATTATCATAAGGTTGATATCAGCTCACCTTGTTTCTGTGTTCAGGGGAAAAAGAAAAAGAGAAAGAGGACGAAGAGTGAGAATCAGCTCGAAGGTAAGACGATGCTGCTGAGAGTCAGAGGGTGGTGTTCTTGTTGAAGCTGTGTAAAGGACCTCGGTACTGTAACGCCGGTCTCAGCGTTCGATCCCGGTCCGGCTGCTGAGCCCGGTTCTGTACTGCAGCAGTGAATTATCTCTCTGTGACGATGTGTTAAAGCCTTTAACTGATCCGTCTGTCTGTCCCTCAGGTCCTGACGAGGACTTCCCTCCGCAGCTGAAGAGACCTCGCGTCCCCCCCGAGGAGACGCCTCACACACACACTCTGCTCACACAGACTGCGCACACACACCCCCGCTCCCACCTGACGCAGCCGCACACCGTCTCCCACCTGACGCACACACACCTGTCCCAGGCCAGCCCCGCCTCCTCGCTGGACTCCCCGGCGACGCCGACCACCGCGCTGGCGTCGCCCGGCGCCCCGGCCCCGACGCACACCGAGCACACGCACTCCTCCTACGGCGGGCACACGTCTCCCTACGGCGAGCAGCTGCAGCCGCTGTCCCTCACAACCAAACCCCACCGGACCGCCCACCCTCTGAGCCGCAACGCCGTCACCCCCGGACCCTCCACGCCGTCGTCCTCCTGCGACACCCCCACCTCCTCACCTCTCATGACTTCCTCCAGGTGTTCCCCTCCTCCTCCTCCTCCTCCTCTAATCTCACAGCCCTTCCTCGTCCCGCCTCCTACCTCCGCTCACCAATCAGCAGCGAGCTCTCACGGTGCCTTAACTCAGCCGTTCTCACTCAGGAGAGCCAATCAGCTGTGAGGAGCCTGTCACATGGATAAATAAAAACAATGAAATCACAAACAGTGGAACATGATTTGTACCTCTTCCTATGCTGTAAATACGCCTCCTTTTTTAAACTTTTTTATAGATGTATCACGTTTTATATTAGTATGAAAATAATTGGTCAATATTTGACTGCGTCTCTAACTTCATGAAATGTGTATTTTTTGGTCACTTTTTCTAATTACTTTTTACGGATGATCAACTTGTTGTAATTGAACGAGCTGTGGCACCTGGGTTTGTTTCATAATGCTTTTTTTTCACCTGGTAGTATCGAGTGTAAATCTATTTTCTGGTTCCTCCTCTGTTAATAAATATTCACTGAGTTCAGACACGCTGCCTGTGTGCTGTCCCATGATTGAAACCCTGCTTATACAATCAGCCTCGTTCTCAGAGACAGAGTTAAACCTGAACCCACAGACAGTTCCACACTTTCACACTCCGTATAGCTGCAGACGTCCCTGAGAATCATCCTGTGCCAGTTGTCTGCAAACAGGAGCTGCTAACCAGTAATTCAACATATATTTAATATATTTAAGGTCCCCACAGCTAATAACTGACTGCATGGCAACAGGTTACTTCTTGTTTACATCCCCAAAGATCCCAAATGAGTAGTTCCCAAACTTAAAGTGTGTGTGTGTGTGTGTCTGTCTGTCTGTCTGTCTGTCTGTCTGTCTGTGTAACCAGGTGATGAATCCTCACCCAGACTGTCTCCCTCTGCTGGAGCATCATAAACTAACATCAGCAGTACTCCAGTGTAAGTTAGAGGCTCTGCTACGTTACAGAAGTTATCCAGGTTATGTTACTTTATACTAAAGAAAGAATCGTCTGATTGAACTTACTGCACTGTTATATGTATATAGATATATCTATCTTTGATACTTTAAATACATATTGATGCAATATTTATGTACTTCCTCTCAGGGTTTTTACTTAAAGCTCCTACAAGGAACTTTCATTGTGTGTTGATTCTGACGCCCCCTGTGGGCAGAAGCGGACTCCTTGTTTCATTGATTTCAATGGGAATCAGACTGAATCCGAGCTGCTGGCAGACATTGACAATAACTATAATGTTCATACAGTGCTTTTATTCTGAAGATCCACAGGGACTCACAGTGAGAAACTGTTTCTGCATCACGTCACGTTTTGTTAAATCTCAACTGATTAACGCATTAAAGCTCAGTTACGAATTGTTTTTATTCCCTCATCAGTAAAACATTTTAAATACTTACTAAAACAAATAGTAAGAATAGTGACTGACTATAATGAGAAACTATTAAAATAATTTGTAATACAAACATACATACAAAATATGTGCTTTTACCTCGTCAGTAAAACAATGATTTGAAAGACTTTAGAAATGAATGAATGAGTGAATGATAAAGAGGCATCAGAATGAAACTGACTGTTTCAGTTCTAAAGTTATTGTTGAACTGTTGAACATGAACTCACCTTCTACCTTCCTCAGCTCGAGGAAGCTTGGAAAGGTTTAGGTTTGAGGAACAGGTTTCTCTGATCCACATTCAGTGAACTGTAATAAGTTTAACTAGAAAATTCCTAAAGCAATGTTGACTGTGCCTCGCTCTGGCCCGTATGTTAATACCATGTCCTGCTCTCTAGCACGCTAGAGCTAGCATATTAATAACCTGTCATTCTCTTTAGCTAGCTAGAGCTAGCACACATAAACACATTAACCATAGCTAGCACTTAGCTACGCGCTAATCGCTAGCTAAGTGCTAGCTTTGGTTAATGTGTTTAATTGTATTATGCTCCTGAAGGAGTGCTAATGTAAATTAAGGAACAGCTCATAGTAGGGTAAAATATTTAAGGTGTATTGAACTTATTTTGTGTTAATATTAAAATCATTCAGCTTTAAATTGTTTGTTTGTTAGCCGCCTGCTAATTATCTTTAGCTAGCCAGCTAGCGCTAGCTTATTAATGCCTTGTCATTCTCTGTAGCTAGCTGTGTGTGTGTGTGTGTGTGTGTGTGTGTGTGTGTGTGTGGGGGGGGAGCAGGCTTTGGTTGTCATGGCAATCAGGGGAGCCCACAGCAGCTGCGCCTCTCTCTCTGTCTCTAACTCCTCAGAGAGACAGAAACATTTAAAATGAATCCCCTCTAACCCATGGCCAGGAACGACCGAAATGAAAACCGAAAAGACCGTGAGCGTCGTCATCTTGTTGACTATAGCGCTGCCGAGTTTCAGTGGCTAAAGTTAAAAAATGTGACCTGGGGAGATTGAGAGAGAAGAGGTTCAACAAGCTCCTTTCAAGATTTCTTCTCTAAAATTAACATGGGAGTAGATGGGGCCGTGAGAGGGCGTTGCTGGCGCATCAGTGCGTCTCCCGCCAAGACTATTTGTCTGACAGCTTCAGCAGTAGTATCACTGCGACCCCAACGAATTTACCTACGTTTCTATCTATAAATTATTTCTGTAGAGTGACATTTGTGGTCTTGAGAGCAGTTTACAAATGTATTTTTCGACAAATTTTTCTCTCTCCCCACACTCTAGTGATGATGTCACGCACTCTGGCGGTTGAACATTCTCGCAATACACACCCATTCATTTTTTGGACCGGTTTTTGGCGATTTACCGGCAAACCGTTTGGCGAAACGCTTAGAAAAGTCATTGCACTAATGTCCTCACCGAGCCGCACGTTTTGATACCTTTTTTGTGTACGTGCGACCAAAACTGCGGGAGGAGTAGCGCGCCGAAAAACGTACGGAAGAATAATAAGCCCGAGGGAGAGTAGTATTGTGCTTGCTTATGCGAGGCACAATAATAATATCCAGTAAGGCTTTCCTTACAGAACCTGATGGTTTTATGACTTATGTTTCATTATTTTGTTATTATAAAATAAAACAGAAATGCTTCACAATCTTACACATGGAACCTTTCAGTAAAAGTTGTTGAGTATTAAAGGTGTAAAAAACATCCCCTGGGACTGTTGTGTTATTAACTGTGATTTCATTAGATTATTACTGTCCCCTCGCAGACTACAGCACAGGTACATTTATATTATTAAAGCGTTACAGGTAAACTCCCATCATCCCTCTGGTTCTGGTCATTAGTGGTTGCTTTTAATGGACTCTGGGTTCGATGGCTGTGGAGACGTATGTATTGTCTTCCTGTGCACCTTGGACCCGGAATAATGTGAGAGAGATCATTACATTACAATTCTATCCACTGATGAGTTTAATCATAAAGACTGGTTGTTTCTGCTGATCATGTGGTTTTATACGGCTGCCACCTCGAGGTCTCCTGTTAAACAGATCTTTGATCTCAATGTGACCTGAAAATAAAGATCAAATAAAATAATAAAATAAATGTAAAAGCAGGATTATTGTTGGAGCTGGTTGAGCTCATTTTCCATCAGACTGCAACTCAGTAATTATTTCCATTAATCAGATGGTGGAATAAAGGCAGGGTGCAGTCAGGGTGGAGGATAAATAAAGCAGCAACACGTCTCCTCAAGTCAGAGATCCTGTTGGTAAAGGATTTCTTTTTGTTTCACTATGTCTGGAATTTACTGTGTCTGAAGTATTTCAAGGAAACTGGTCACGAGTGTTTTTACGGTCTGTAGACGAGCATCGACTCGCCTGTAAAACAACATACACCTGAGGCCTGCTGGGATTGCACAGCGTTCTTTCCCAGCAGGAAAGTTATGTAAAACTGAGTGACTGACAGCATGTGATCGTTCCTCCTCTAACAGCCTGAGGAGGAAATACCCATATATGGTAAGACAGGTGTGACTTTAAAGGTGTGAACCGGACTGCAGGGACACACAGAGCACACACACACACCAGAGAGCTTCCACAGACACAGGTTCTTCCACAGAGCAAACCCAGCACACTGAAGCACAATGCTGCACTGGAGAGGCCAGAAGGAGCCCAGGGGGGAGTGTAACCGGGCAGTGCTGGTGTCCGTGGCGGAGTTCCACCCCGGGGTGGAGCTCAGGAACAGGCCTGGAGCCGAGAAGGACGCCAAGAAACTCCACCGCACCCTCAGCAAACTGGGCTTCAAGGTGGACATCCACAGCGACCTCAACGGGGACGAGATCGAGCAGCTGTTCCTGAAAGGTCAGAGTCTGTTTATTAATATTTATAATGCATACACTGTTTATTCATCTTTTCCAATGATACATTATATTGCATACACTGTCTATTAATCTGTACAGTGATATACTATAATCTGTACAGTGATATATTATAATCTGTACAGTGATATATTATAATCTGTACAGTGATATAATCTGTACAGTGATATATTATAATCTGTACAGTGATATATTATAATCTGTACAGTGATATAATCTGTACAGTGATATATTATAATCTGTACAGTGATATATTATAATCTGTACAGTGATATTATAATCTGTACAGTGATATATTATAATCTGTACAGTGATATATTATAATCTGTACAGTGATATTATAATCTGTACAGTGATATATTATAATCTGTACAGTGATATTATAATCTGTACAGTGATATATTATAATCTGTACAGTGATATTATAATCTGTACAGTGATATATTATAATCTGTACAGTGATATATTATAATCTGTACAGTGATATATTTTAATCTGTACAGTGATATTATAATCTGTACAGTGATATATTATAATCTGTACAGTGATATATTTTAATCTGTACAGTGATATTATAATCTGTACAGTGATATTATAATCTGTACAGTGATATATTATAATCTGTACAGTGATATATTTTAATCTGTACAGTGATATATTTTAATCTGTACAGTGATATATTATAATCTGTACAGTGATATTATAATCTGTACAGTGATATTATAATCTGTACAGTGATATATTATAATGCATACTCTGTCTGCACTACAATACATATAGAAATATAATACACAGATCTTTAACTGTGCAGAGAACACGTGCTTTTACTTTATTCATCCACTCATTGGATCCCCTCCTGACCCCCCCCCCCCCGGTTATTGTTGAAAGAGGAGAGAGGTTAGATTATAAACTCAGATCATATTTAAATGAATTTTTGACGAGCCCTGGTCTCTCTGGAGAACTCTGTTAAATCTCAAAGACCTGTTCAGGGTTTTGTTCAGTTGATCTTCCGGTTGTTCAGCTCTACTGGAGGATGAACGTTTTATCATTTGATGGCGGTGGAGAACGTAGGACACCTAGAACCCTCTGAAAGATTACAGGGACCTCTTTAAGAACCGGTAGAACCTTCTAATGGCCACTAAAACCTCAAAGAGAACCTTCTTCAGATTCTCAGAACAATGAACTCACATTCACAGTGAAACAAAAGTAAAACCAAGCTGTTGGCCTTTGATATGAACATTCACATTATTAGTCCACATTGTACCTGCCGACATTCTGTCGTTATATAACGAGACAGGACAGACGCCCAGATACCAGACAGACTGAAAGTCCATGTAGAGTTTTACAGCTGCTTATCACTAATAGATAACAGCGTGCAGCAGTTCCATATGTGATCATCGGGTAATCAATCATCTGATGGAGAAAAACAAACTAATAAAAGAGAGAGAGAGAGAGAGAGCCTGAGGGTTCATGAGTTCACACTGAAGCTTGTGTAAAGAGTACGTGCAAGTGAGAGCATGAATACCTGTTCTACCGTCCCGTCCCATACGTCTGTGTGTTTGTACTGATGCAGTGTGTCATTAACTGTGTGTGTGTGTGTGTGTGTGTGTGTGTGTGTGTGTGTGTGTGTGTGTGTGTGTGTGTGTGTGTGTGTGTGTGTGTGTGTTTGTACATTGTGAGTAATGCAGAGTCTGTCATTAACTGTGTGTGTGTGTGTGTGTGTGTGTGTGTGTGTGTGTGTGTGGTGTGTGTGTGTGTTTGTACATTGTGAGTAATGCAGAGTCTGTCATTAACTGTGTGTGTGTGTGTGTGTGTGTGTGTGTTTGTACATTGTGAGTAATGCAGAGTCTGTCATTAACTGTGTGTGTGTGTGTGTGTGTGTGTGTGTGTGTGTGTGTGTGTGTGTGTGTGCTGCAGAGAGCCGGCGGCCTGTGAAGGATTGTTTCCTCGCCGTCCTGTCGTCTCACGGCGAGGAGGGCTGCGTGTTCGGGGCCGACGGGAACGCGGTCCTACTGTCCCGTATCTTCAGATACTTTGACAACGAAGTAATGGAGAATAAGGCCAAACTGTTCCTGGTACAGGTGAGCAGCAGCAGCAGAGTCTGACTGAAGCTCTGGTGTGTGACTGTCTGAACGTCTTCCACCCATTAGTGATATTAATACAGACAAACAGCTCACGGTCTGACGGTGTGTGTGTGTGACTGAGGACTCTTGTTGTCTCTGCAGGCCTGTCGGGGGGGCAATCTGGATGAGGGTGTGGAGGTGGATTCGGTTGCCGACAGCAGAGAGTGCAGCTTTACCCAGCATCCCTTTGTTCCCATAGACACAGCTGTAATGTACGCCACAGCTCCAGGTAGACACCTTTTATAAACCAGATACTAAAATAAATAAATACTTTATTACGTATATTTAACAGTAGATTAACAGTCTGAATCCCCTCCGTCCTCTCCCCAGGATACGGAGCCTTCATGCACCCCCTCGGATCCGTCTTCCTGCAGACCTTCTGTAAGTTACTGGAGGAGGAGGGCAACAGAAACCTGGAGCTGACCCGTCTGATGACCCGGCTCTCCCACAGCGTGGCCTACACCTTCCAGGCCAAAGGTCGCGAGCTCGGCGGGATGAAGGAGATGCCGTGCCTCCTGACGAGGCTGACCAGAGAGGTGTTCCCGTTCGCTCAGCCGGGGAAGGATGGCGGGGCCGCGGCGCTCTCGGCTACGTCACTGGTCCACGCCGATAACGTGAGAAAGCGGACGCCGTCCATCAGTTAGACTGAAAGACAATAATTATCAGCAGGAATGCAGACGGATGAGAGCTGATAACAGACAGACAGACAGACAGACAGACAGATGATGACTTCCTGAAGATGACATAAAGAGAATATCTGCTGGAAGATTCTGTTTATATTATTTATACTGTACATAATAAAGCTATATTTAATGTATTGTAATGATGTTTATGTTTGTAAATCAACAATAAAGAATTAAAAACATTTTCCAGTTGTCTCCAGTTGCTCACTCACTAAAATAACCCAGCACAATAATTTAAAGTGACACACAGAGAGCAGAACCTCTTCTCAAGACTCCAAAACTCTAAACACATTTTCTGCTTTACTTTACTTTTTAAATGCTCTGATGGTTCTCTGTATAACAACAATCTGACAGAAAGTCACATGTTCACATTTCAAAACTCTGCCATTCAAAATGACACTACATGAGCTGAGTGTCCAATATATGAGTCACCTAGTCAAACACCTCTATGGTTCATTGTTACCACTTCACTCAGGAAGGAAGCACTATAAATATAAAAAGACCAATGTAAATATATCTGCTGTGCAGATGTTGCACTCACTTGTTTGGTGAAAAATAAAAAAGATGAGAGTGCTTTTCATTATGGCCAACAGTGTGTAGTTGGTTAGACAAACATCTGCTAATATAAATGAAGTGTGTGTCATTTGGTGCAAAAGTTTGATTTTGATAATGTTATATTATATATTATATATTATATATCATATAGTATATATATATATATATATATATACTATATGATATGTAGTTTTGGTTGCAGTGCTTCATGTTACAGGATATATGAGGTATTTTGTGGTTTTGTGAATTGTGTTCAGTATTTTGATAAAACCAGACAGTCTGCAAAATTACATTTTAGCAATTAGAAAAAACTGTAACAACGTTAACGTGAGTCTGCGTATATCTGATCCACCAACCAGCGAGAGATGTTCATGTTGTATTTTATTGATTATTGATCAGAATACACTGTATCTTTATGGATGATATTGATCAGTATACACTGTATCTTTATGGATGATATTGATCAGTATACACTGTATCTTTATGGATGATATTGATCCTGTATTGACAGTCAGACTGTGGACATATGACGGCCTTTAGCTCGTGTTTCTAGAGTTACGTGTTGTTATGAACACGTTAGGAATTGTTAAATGTGATATTTCTTAAAGAGAGTTTGGTGTCACTCCTTGTGTCAACTTGCTCATCAGTGAAAAATGACTTCAGGACTTTTACAATTACAACAGACTGAAAACCCTGTGACGACATCCACCTGTCACTCAAAGCAGCCCTGTCATTAGTTATCATTAATATAATCTAAAGTGGTGAGTTGTACAGTTGCTCTAGTATGACGAGTGTTAGGGACAGACTAAGAGAAAATATATATTTATTTTTTGGGGGAAAGTACGAGAATAGAGTTGTAACATTACGAGAATAAAGTCGTAATATTGCGAGAATAAAGTCGTAACATTACGAGAATAAAGTCGTAATATTGCGAGAATAAAGTCATAACATTACGAGAATAAAGTCGTAACATTACGAGAATAAAGTCGTAACATTGCGAGAATAAAGTCGTAACATTACGAGAATAAAGTCGTAACATTACGAGAATAAAGTCGTAACATTGCGAGAATAAAGTCGTAACATTACGAGAATAAAGTCGTAATATTATGAGAATAAAGTAGTAATTTTATGAGAACTGTCAGCCTGTTGGCTCAGCCAGCAAAACTGTTTAACGATGAAATGATCAATACGTTAGTTTACCTGTCGACTGTACGGTACGACTGAGACAAACAGCGGCTGCTGGGCTCAGACTGAGGGTGCTGATTGGTTGAGCTGCTCATGTCAGATCTTGATAACTATCGAAGCTTTTTTCTCATTAAAACGATTTTTTTTCTTGTATTATTACGACTTTATTCTCGTAATTTCCAAAATTCTATTTATTTATTTTTCCTCTTAGTATGGCCCTAATACTCCGTCGTACTCTAGAGACCAACAGGTTGTATGTTTATTAAGTTTTAATATGGGGCTTTATGGAGACTGACTGCCTCTAGTGGCCGTTAGAGGAACTCTCTGATTCTGGTTTTTATGAGTCTGTTTTTAATTCTGTGCTTTTATATGGTTTTATAAAAGTCAGCAGACTGGTCTTATTGAACATGTGATCACACTCATCCTGTGACTCAGCAGGTGTTACAGGTGTGTGTGTGTGTGTGTGTGTGTGTGTGTGTGTGTGTGTGTGTGTGTGTGTGTGTGTGTGTGTTCATCCTTCCTGTAATAAAGGATCCTCAGAACAGACGGACAGCTTTAGAATATTTCTCTTTGCATTGTCATACAGGTTTGAGACGATTGTGTCAGAGAGCTGCTGATTGATTGATTGATTGATCGACGGCTTTCAATTATAGGTTCCAAACACAGATCCTCCTCCAACCAGACGCAGGAAGGACAAATACTTGTTTACTGTACTTGAGTGGCGTTTATTTCTGGGACCATAAAATATCTTTATTTCTCTGAGGACCATTGTTACATTCAAGTGTGATAAGTGTGTGTGTGTGTGTGTGTGTGTGTGTGTGTGTGTGTGTGTGTGTGTGTGTGTGTGTGTGTGTGTGTGTGAGTGTGTGTGTGTGTGTGTGTGTGTGTGTGTGTGTGTGTGTGTGTGTGTGTGTGTGTGTGTGTGTGTGTGTCTGTGTGTCTGTGTGTGTGTGTGTGTGTGTGTAAGATAAATATGTAACATGTAATCTGCAGAACTCTGCAGGAAGTTTCAGCAGATTTTCTGTAATGACATCTTTGGATTTTCTCCAGGAAGTCAGATGGCGTGAGGAAACTACAAACTGTCTGTCTGCCAGCTGTCTGTCTGTCAGCAGTCTGTCTGTCAGCTGTTATCAGCTCCCATCCGTCTGCATTCATTCACACAGAGTCACGTACACGAGTGGCGTGCTGCAGTTGTTGTCTCGTTATCAGCGTGGCGTGCTGTGGCGTTGATGGCGTTGATGGCGTGCTGCGTCTCTCTGGTCCTTGAAGGAAAATGTCTCCACAATCAGATTGAAACTCTTTCATGCGTGAATTATGACGTCAGTCAGGAAGTGTTTGAGTGTTCAGCTGTATGTTAAAGACCAACTAATATAATTATATAAATGTAAATATTAAACTCACAGTTGGTGGGAATAATGATAGAATCTGTAGTTCTGTTTGTAGAACTACAGAACTTCATTACGACGCTGTTTGTCACATATTTTAATTTATCGAACTGTTGCAGCGTCTGACATTTGGATTAATACGACTGAATAATATTTTAATTAATTGTGCGGCGCTAATATATATAAATATATCTTTTATACTTTAAACTGTGTTCACATATTTTATTCTTCAGTTCAATAAAAAACTGTTGAATTTATATGATTTGTATTTGTTTATTTATTTAGCTGTTACTGGATGTTCCTACAGGTTGGTGATGGTTGGGTATCTGCTGCACACTAGCATTGGCTAACTCCAGAGGCTAACAGGCTGCCATCAGTTTTTAATATAAGTTATTTATGTTCTACATTATTATAAATTATATTTCACAATAAGATCAGATTAGATAGACTTTTATATATTTATACTATATATACTTTTTATATTATTTTTATTATATAAAGTCTACAATATAGTTATAATTGTACCGTATATAGTCTCATGTTTGATAAACTGATTGAGTTCATGTATTGAATGATGATAATAATAATAATAATAATAATAATAATAATAATAATAGGAACATTAGTCTTTTGATTTATTTATTGATTTATTTCAGTTTTATTATGTATATTATATATATTGTATATTATTATGTATATTATATATATTGTATATTATTGTGTATATTATATATATTGTATAGTATTGTATGTTATCTGCAGTACACACTCTGTATATATTTACTGATAATATGTTTATAATATGTAATATGAGAGTAAACAGCTGTTTGTTGTTGTTTGTTTTTTAAGCTTTATTGAAAAAGTACAAAAATAAACAATAAACAATTCTGGCACTTTTCATAGTACATACACTTCACTTTGTAATAATAACAATAACAACAAGCACATTAGTGCTTCAATACAATAAATTCTGAGCAATTGAAATAAAATGAAAATAAACATCTCAAAATAAATAGTCTAAAATAAAATATATATAAAATAGAATAAACATTGCTTTCATAAGGGGGATTCAAATCAATTTTAACTATCCATTTCAGTGGGAAAGTTCTTTAAGTTATCATATAATGTTTGTGCTTTAATTTCTGTTAGAGGTTTTAAAGATTTAATGTACAATTTAAATTCATTCATGAAGACAATAAATTTGGGTGATGAGTTCATAACTCTATTCTTGTGGATGAAAACTTTGGCTAGACAAAGGATTACATTGCAACAGCTGGAAATAAAACTATTTTAGTTTGATCCAATTGTGAATGTTAACCCAGAATGTTTGTATTATATCACATGAGAAGAAGATATGGTCGCGGTTTCAATGTCATTTTCACAGAATGTGCATAAACTGTCAGCGATATTAAAGCGTAGTCTAAGTAATTCTTTAGAAGGATAAATGTTGTTCATCATTTTAAAGTGTGTTTCTTTGGTTTTGGGGGCTATAGGAAATTTTAGGTACATTGTTCTTAGTTTATCAATTGATTTATTATCAGATTTATGTAGGATATTATTTTTGTTTTGTCTACCGGGGAACAATGTTTCAGTGAGGCAGTTTCTTATTAAATGATTGTTACATTTTTTTGTCCAGGATTAAAATCCCCTGTATTGACAATGGGCCCAGTTGTGGTATTATAAGTTGGTGGGCCAATATATTGTTTGTTAGAAATATAAATCCATGAGGAAGTGCTTTTTGTAATTTAATAAAGTCGGATTTGGAAGGGTTGAATTTATGTTTAGTGCAAAATTGTTGATAATCTAAGAGATTGCCATTGGCATCCATTAAGTCAACTACAGACCATATATTCCTCTCATACCAATGCTGATAATATAATGATTTATTTCAGTATAAAACATATCTATTATTCCAAAACATAGTAGTGTGAGAAGTTATATCACATATAGCATTTTCCAATATAATAGAATTTGTTTATGAAACTCAGCCTGTAGGTAATTTATCGATGTTGAAGTCTGCCATAAGAAGACATTTTAAACCTCCAATCTTATTGAATAGGGAATTTGGGACACAGTACCAAAATGAGTTGCTATGTTTGAATCAAGATTTCAGCCAATTCATTTTAAAGGTTCCATTGAGGCAATCAAAATCAATAACTTTTAAACCACCATCTTTAATTTCTTTAACCATATTGCTTTTTCATATAGTGTGGCTTGTTTCAAATAAAATTCAGATTAATTTGGTTAATAGATTTGATTAGTTTATTTGAAATGGCATTAGAGCAGGCTGGGTAAATGCACCTTGATAAACGTTCCATCTTGGTTAGGTAAATTCAGCCGAGTATTGAGAGCTCTCTTTGGAGCCATACATTTAATTTGGCTTTACTCTCTTTTATTTTTTTTTCTACATTCAAGTATTGACTTTGTTTTTGGTCTTTTGTAAAGTGTACTCCAAGGTATTTCATTTCCGACTTGATAGGGATGTTACAGATGTCTTTGAGAGTTGTATCATGAATTGTAAATAGTTCACATTTGTTTAGGTTCAGAGTTATCCCTGAAGCTTTGGAGAATTCTTTTATTGTTTCGATTGTTATTGGAATTTGGTGTCTGTCTTGTACAAAAAGTGTTGTGTCATCCAGAAGTTGGCTGATGACAATATCGGTACCTAAGACATCTAAATTGTTTATTTCATTACAATGTTTAATGTAAATTGCTAACATTTCTGTGACTAATATGAATAAATATGGTGAGATGGGACAACCTTGTGGAATTCCCACATTAACATTAAAACTGGGGGTGGTGCCACAAGGTAGCATGACACAGCTGTTATTATATATTATATATATTATATATATTCTGATATAATCCACCAACTAAATTCCTAAATTTGACTCCAAAACCTAAATGTTCAAGAACTTGGAAGATAAATGGATGCTCTACGGAATCGAAGAAAAGAAAACCATCATGTTCAATTGGATTTCTATAATCAATAATGTCCATTATATATATATAATGCCTTATATTGTTGTGGATTGATGTTCCCTTTAAGAAACCAGACTGTGACGAGTGGTGAAAATGTAGGAGAGTAATTTATAATCAGAGTTTCTAAGAGTAATACCTTCTGTTTTCTATGAATCTGGGGTCTTTGCCGGGTTTAGGAATGAGATGATGTCTCACTGTGATTGGAAGAATACAAGTTTCAAATATTTCCAGGAATACTTGATGTAGATTTTTTAATATCTTCCCAGAAATGTGGATAAAAGTGTCCTGTGAGTCGGTCCGAGCCCGGTGTTCAGAGACAGGGTCCAGTACCTCGGTCCACTTCAGTAACTGTTATTTGACTATCACACGTTTGTTTAAAGTTCTCTTCTTCTATATATATATATATATAAATAATATTTATATATATATAAATAAAAATATAAATATATATACATAAATATATATATATATATATATTTATATATATATATATATATATATATATATATATTTATATCAATATATATAAATATATATAAAAATATATATATATATATAAATATATATATATATTTATATATATATATTTATATATATATATATATATATAAAAATATATATATATAAATATATATATATATATTGTTCTGTCTCCTTTAAGAATGTTTTCAGACTTTTGTTGTTGTTATTGTCTGAGAGACAAGCTGACCTTTGAACTCTGACCCAGGACGCGGTAACGTGACGTGCGCAGCTTTAAGGCCGCGTGTCTTTACGTCATCAGCATGCGCCTGCAGTCGGCAGCAGCAGTGGAGCCGCGGTGCATCATGGGAACGGAGTCGCTCAGCTGGTCGGTTGTTTTTATCCATAGAAACAATATTTAATGTTTAATATCTAATGTTTACTCTGTTTACTCCGTTTATAAGGTCACACACACACACAGTACAGTTCTGTTATTATTGATTATTATTGATTATTAAACTCCTGTTCTCTTATTACGTCATCAATATACAACCTTATTATGTTCAGGAGCTAACGGCTAACGGCTAACGGCTAACAGAAGAAGAAGAAATGAACCGACACGGAAAGAAAAACGGGATCCCCGACAGGTATCGATCACTGATCACCTTATCGATCACCTTATCGATCACTGATCACCTTATCGATCACCTTACCGATCACTGATCACCTTATCGATCACTGATCACCTTACCGATCACTGATCACCTTATCGATCACCTTATCGATCAGTGATCTTGATTTTTATCTCCATTAAATCCTGAAAGCAAACGTTTTATTATTGTTGTTGTTGTTGTTGTTTATTTGTTGTTTATAGAGAGAGAGAGAGAGAGACAGAGAGACAGGTTATTTAATATTATTAATAAAAAGTCAAACTAATAATAATAATAATAATAATAATAATAATAATAATAATGATTAAAAGACTGTAATGTGAATGAATGCAGATCCATTATGAGAGGATGATATTAATACTGTGAATAATATATAAACTATAATATATATAATATAGTTTATATAGTTTATATAAACTATAATATATAATATAATATATATATATTATATAAAAAATAAAAAATATATAATATAATATAAACTATATTATAGTTTATAATATAAATATAATAAAAAAAATATAATATAATATAATATAAACTATAATATATAAATATAAACTATAATATAAACTATAATATGATGTGTGTTCAGCGTGGGAACCAGAGGAACCGCTCTTCGCCGCTCTGACGCTGTTGTCGGTAATCTGATGTGTCTCTTTCTGTCAGGTGGCGAGATTATAAATCTGTTGGTAAAAGACTTCACGGGACTCGATTCATCGCCTTCAAAGTGCCGCTGAATCAGGTCAGATCTCGCCGTGGTCCGTGTGTGTCTCCGTGTGGCGCCCACTGACCTCCGACCTCCGACCTCTGACCTCTGACCTCTGTCTGTGCTCTCTCCTCAGTCTCTGAACCGCCAGCTTCCCTCTCTGGAGGCGTTCGGTCCCTGGGAGCTGCTGGACGTCCTCAACAAAGACAGACAAGAACTGGGTCTGATCATCGATCTGACCTTCACCAGCCGCTACTACGGACCGCACGACGTCCCGCAGTCGCTGCTGCTGGTGAAGATCTTCACTCGAGGTCACGAGGTCCCCAGCGACGACACCATCCTCAGCTTCAAGCGCGCCGTGCGACGGTTCCTACGAGACAACGCCGACAACGGTGAGACAACAACGGTCGCTCAGGAACTGTTGTTTAAAGGCGGCGTTTCCCCTGAGGACGGGGGACGTTTGTAGAGACGCAACCATCAATAAAACATCACACTGATAATCTGCCTCACACAGAAAGAGTTACAGCTCATTGATCGGTATCGGATCCTCGTCTGCAGCCCGACGGAGGCTCGTCATTAACGTCGAAGTGTGAATTATATTTGTCTTTAAGAGACGACGACGCGCGTTCGATTCTTTGTGACGTTCTCTGCGACGTACAGCAGCTAGCAGTCGGTACAGTGAGAATAAAACGGGGCGGAGGGGCGGTGGCGTCTGGCTCCAGGGACGGCTGCTGTGATTGGTTGTGAGGTTCTGCAGAACTCGCTGTGATTGGTTGAATCCGGAGCGGTCCAGCTCTCTGTGTGACGCACATTAACCCGACTGTCCTTCACAGACAAGCTGATCGGCGTCCACTGCACCCACGGCCTGAACCGCACCGGATACCTGATCTGCAGGTGAGGACGTAGACGCACCAGAGGGCAGGGTCGGGGAGTAATGGATTAAAGCCAACTGTAATCCATTACAGTTACATTTAGGGATTATTAGCTCTCCTCTATTTTTGATGCTAAATCTTCATTTTTATTTTCTGTTGTCTCAGAAATCCTCTCAAATCCTCTTGTTGATATTTCTCCTGTCTTTGTTTGGTGTTGATGTAATCCAAAATGAGCAGAAAGTAATCGAGTTACATTACTTTAATATTGTAATTAGTAACTGTATGGGACTCCTGGTGTAATCCTGTGTTTAAGAGCTGCGTCTGACCTGCAGGTATCTGATAGACGTTGATGGGATGGATCCTAAAGAGGCTGTAGCGTGTGAGTACTCGTGTTCTCTCTCTTTGTGTTAAAGTATTTAAAGTGAATGAGAGTGAAGCATCCTGAATGTGCTTCTGTCCTCAGTGTTTAACTCGTCGCGGGGCCACGCTATCGAAAGACCCAACTACCTGGAAGATCTCCAGCGTGGACCGAAGAGGAGGTGAGACCATACGTCCACAGTTCCACGTACAGCAGAGACAGAGGCATACAGATGTTAACAGGAAGTTAGTCGCTGTAGTTGGAGCGCTCGCAGTCAGCCGTTACAGGACAGATGTTACAGTCGAACAGCGCTCAGTTACTGATGTTTGCACCGAGTGATGCTTCATCTTTATAACTCTTCATCATCATTGTTTAACATCCAACTGTCTGCTCTGGTTGGATCTCCTGTACGCAGTAACGAGGGGATGGAGGAGTCGGAGCAGGAGCCAATGAGAGGTCGAGCTGCACACCGGCCGTCAGACAGTGACCGCAGAGAGGAGCGACGACCTCACTCCGCCGACTGGTACCACAGGTAGGGAGGACAGACGTCCCTCCTCTGGTCTTCTGTGTTAGAAATGAGTCCTACAGCGTCCGACTGTCTGTCTGTCTCTGTTCCAGGTCTTACCCTCCAACAGGAAACCACCGCTCCCATCACCAGCACCCCCACGACGGCCTGCTCCCCAGTCCTCCGTTACTACCTCCGCCTCCTTTCTGTCCACCCACGGGCGCCCCGCTGCACCACCACCACCCGTACCGATGGACCCCGCCTCACCCCGACAGTCAGTGGAGGAGACCCCCCCGCCCAGTGGACAGAAGGAGAGGTCCTCCTCCTCCTCCTCTTCCTCCTCCCCTCCCCCGCTACTCCGCACGCTGGACCAACGAGTCCAACGGCCTGCGTGAGCGACCCGAGGAGGAGTGGGCCGGCCGCCAGATGAGACCTCACCACAGACACAGAGTGAACACGTACGACAACTACTGACAGACAGCTGGACTCTTCCTTTCATCTGCTGTTACACTGAATGTGATTAATGAGTCCGATGTTCACTGGAAACCTTTTTATCAGCTCAACTCTAAGTCTATTCTAATCGATCGGTATCGGCTAACATAAAGCCGATCAGAATCCACAGCGTAGAGTTTGACTGGACGGATGAGGATCCGGACTGTAGACGTGGAGCAGAGTTCAGACTGGGTTTTACTTCCAGCTGTCGGAGCCGATGAATGTTTGTCAGCTCTGAGATCTTAATGTGCCTTTTTCATACTGACCTCAAATCAGTCCAGTGTTGATCCCCGCTGCCAAGGAGAACTGTGGACATGTTTACGGTTTTATTCTCTTTTTATTGGACTCTTTTATATTTGGTCTTTATTTTATCGGCTGCTTCTCACTGAGAGGATCTGGAACGTGCACAGGTTTACTCTTTCACCTCAGATTGGATCCCTTTTTATTAAATTCAGACAATTAGAACTGCAACTAATGATTATTTCCATCATCCCTCTATGTGTTGGTTGTTTTCTTGATGGATTAATTAGTTTGTTGCTCTATAAAATGATGTAAAATATAAAAATATAACCATCACAGTTTCCAGAGCCCGGGGTGATGTGTTCAATGTGAAGCTGTTTCCATGTGGAACCAGTTACATTTTTATCTTTTTAGTTTAAAAATGGACTCTCTGTATTATCATTAAAACATTTGTGAGTTTACAATAAAGTGTCGCTGTGACGTGAATCGCTGTCATACAGGAAGTGAAATGAGACAGATAATAAAGCAGGAAGGCGGGTCGAAGGTCGATTTTAATAAAGAAACATTTTAAGATTTGAATACAACGAGAAAATGTTTTATTGCATCTTGATTATTTTAATCACAATGTTTAACAGACAGGTAAGATGGACACACACACACACAGTCAACATGCTTTTCTTTTTTCTAAAATTTTTTTTTTACAGCTGGTAAATGAGCTCATTTTTATTTATTCATGTAAATTAATTTATATATATTGGGTAATGTTAAATTCCCTCTGGGGACCAATACAGCTTTATTGATCTTATAATAATAATATTTATTCATATTTTGTGTTATTAACAGATCAATAATGTTCAGGTTTGACTGACACTGTCAGAGAGCATTAATGTAAATATATGATTATTATTAAGGTTGTAGTCTGCAGTGTTGTACTGGACGACATCATACTGAGAGCTCACAGTGACGCTGGAACTTACTTCATCAGCGCTTTACCAGCTGCTGTTAGTTTACTGAGCCTGTAACGCAGCGCTGCCAGGAGTCCTTTATCCTGCACAGTTGTTATCATCTTCTGAGGTTCAGTTTCTTTCAGGAAGTCAGTGAATTGGCAGATTTGGTTCACTGTGAAGCTCCAAACATATTTTAAAGCAAACTGAGTTTTCTTTGTTTTCTGTGTGCTCTGGCGGTTGTTGAACAGGAAATAAACCGGCTCATTGTCCTCATCTTTAGCACATTTAATGTTTGCATCTTCTAGAGCTTTCAGAGCATTTTCAGGTGTCAGACCATCTGAGTGAGTGATGAGGGGAACAATGTTCTTCTCTATGTTTTTTCCAAACAGAGACACCACTGAATCAAAGATGTACCTCACTCTGTCACTCACTCGATTCTCAGTCGCTTTCAGCACCAGACCCACTACATTGATCTCATGGACTCCGTCCTCTGAGCGGAACAAGTCTGATAATCTCTGACTGATGATTTCATCTTGTTCAATCCCTCTGGTATCTCCATATCCAGGAGTATTGATGATGGTCAGAGAGTAGGGCAGAGTTTCATCTTCAAAACCAAAGATCTCATAAACGATCACATCTGATGTCTGACTCTCTGACTGACTTCTCTTCTCCTCCTCTACGATGTGAAACCAGACATCGTCCTTCCACTTCACTCCCATGCTGTAGTTGACCAGAGTGTTGACCAGAGTAGATTTTCCTGCTCCTGTTTCACCAACAAGTAAAATGGTTCTGTTTGTCTTGTTCACATCTTTTTCACCAAGAGTCATTCTTGTTAGAGTTCCAATCTTCTCTTTCTTTGGTTTCAGCTGGTAGACAGCGGGAGATCCTGATTGGATCAGAACACTTTTAGAGATGATGTCATTATATTTCAGTGAGGTGTTATTCTTCCTGTTGAAAAAGTAGATCATTTACACATTTAATTTCATGTATATGTTTTAGCCTTTAGTTATTTTCTATTCATTGTTAAAAGCTACATCAAAATAAATATAATAAAACTAAAGGAAGTGTCTATATAGGTGCTGACGGTCAACAGTAAGTGTACAATGTCATCCTGTCACTGACAGATGCAGAAAAACTAATCCATGCATTTGTTACTTCAAGGCTGGATTACTGCAACTCTTTATTATAAGGTTGCCCCAATAAGTCCATTAAAACGCTCCAATTAATTCAGAACGCTGCAGCACGAGTACTGACAGGAACTAGAAAAAGAGATCACATCTCTCCTGTACTAGCTTCTCTGCATTGGCTCCCTGTAAAATGTAGAATAGAATTTAAAATCCTCCTCCTCACGTATAAAGCTCTTCATGGTCAGGCCCCTTCATATCTTAAAGAGCTCATAGTACCCTATTACCCCTCTAGAACACTACGTTCTCTGAATGCTGGGCTACTTGTGGTTCCTATAGTCTCTAAAAGTAGAACAGGAGCCAGAGCCTTCAGCTACTATTCATTATTCCCCATTGTTGTGACTGTTGTCTTCATCATCATCATCATCATTTGAATTGGTGTTATACAAATAAAACTGAATTTAATTTAATTTAATGTACTGATTTGAACAAAAGTACTATAGCCCAGTGTAAAAGTACAGGGGTTAAAAAAACAATATTAAATAATTCAGTAATGAAATTAAACTGAAAGTAATTTAGGTTAAAAGGTTAGGTTGAAAGATGAAATGTTAACAAAGAGATTAATATAAATTCATAATAAATAAAGTAGAGTGTAAATAGTTGTTACATTAAACTGTTCTATATAGTAGTTAAAGAAAAGTGTGTGGTAAACCAAAAAGGAATATAGAGATTTGTGTCGTTGGTTCATGCTGTTTCATTTGATTGGTTGCTGTACAATGTCACCTGTTGGTAATTGATTGATTGAATTTTACAACACACACACACACACACACACACACACACACACACACACACACACACACACACACACATATAACTTCAAAGCTACAGGTTTGTAAACTTGCTCTTATCTTGGATGTATACATAGGTATAAAAGCTCAAAACCTCTAAGGTCAGCTTTTAACGGCAGCCTCTGCCAGCTTGGTTGTGGATGTTCAGCAACATGCACCCTCTACCTTTGCAGCAACCTCCCGTCATCCAGGTGCTCCTCCTGACCCATCACCACAAAGGTGCCCATTCTGCCCTTGCATGACTGAGGCCAAATGCCACAAATGTCATGCATATATTTGCAACACACACCATAACGACAACATACTGCCACTCGTGCAAGTGAAGGCATATTCACACACACACACACACACACACACACACACACACACAGAAGGGTGAAACTTGTCGTAATGAGTTGGAATAACGTTGACTAAAAAGGGTAAACACAGAATTGGGAAATAATTTATATTTTATGCTTCATAAACAGTCAAACCAGAAGGGGTCAATTTTGACCCCGAAGGACAACAGGTGTCATTATGTGTCACCATTAACCAGTAACCTTCAGTTACCAAGCTCCTCTCCTGTGGAACCAGCTTCCAGTTGTGGTTCTGGAGGCAGACACCCTCACCACATTCAAGAGTAGGCTTAAGACATTCCTCTTTGATAAAGCTTATAGTTAGGGCTGGATCAGGTGAGTCCTGAACCATCCCTTAGTTATGCTGCTATAGGCCTAGACTATCGGGGGATTTCCCATGGTGCACTGAGCTCCTCTCTTCCTCTCTCTTTCTGCACTCATTCATGTCCCATTAATGCATGTTACTAACTCCACTTCTTCCCCGGAGTTCTTGTGCTTTCTCGTCTCGCAGGTTCTCATGGATCCTGGTGGAGCCTCCTGCCATGGTCCAGCTAGATTGCCGTTGCCAATAATGTTGTTACTGTGCACCTGTCTGTCTGTCTGTCTGACTGTCTGTCTGTCTGTCTGTCTGTCTCTCTCTCTCTCTCTCTCTCTCTCTCTCTCTCTCTCACCCCAGTTGGTCAAGACAGACGACCACCCACCTAGAGCCGGAGGATCTGTCCTAGGTTTCTGCCTTTTAACAGGCAGTTTTTCCTTGCCCTTGTCTCCAAGGTCTTGCTCATGGTGGTACTGTTGGGTCTCTGTAAATAATGTTATAAAGAGTTCGGTCTAGACCTGCTCTATTTGAAAAGTGTCCTGAGATAACTTCTGTTATGAATTGGTGCTATACAAATAAAATTGAATTGAATTAAAAAAATAAAAATGTTTTCAAACAGTGTCCTGACTAAACAGTCAGGTAACGTACCACGACAGTAACGTGCATGCTTCTGGATTTTCTGTGTGACTGTTATAGAATAAAGATTTGTCAGCCGCACTGCACCCGAGTTACACACAGGCCTACAACTTTTTTATTTTTGTGTGTATGTGAGAGTGTGTGTGTGTGTGTGTGTGTGTGTGTGTGTGTGTGTGTGTGGGTCCGCTGTTTTATTTTGTTTAGTTAAGTAGCATATCTGATCTGAGTCTGGTAAGTATAAAGAAATCGTATTAAAGGGGTAAGAACAAGGAATTTTAGCAGAGACCTGAGATAATTTAAGTTTTGAATAGTATTTTAATATTGCCAATACTATTTTATAAGTGTCTCATTTTCTACGGTGTTTTTGCCAATTTTGGTAAAGGTACATTTGTTTAAAATGTAGTATTTCAAATATAATATTGTATTTTAAACGATTTGAGTAATTGTGTTATTTCATTTGGGTTTTTTTTTAACTAACAAAGTAAATATTATTTGTGTTACACTGCTAACAACAGGTCAGTAAAATATTATTTCATTTATTTGAAAGAGTTGTCGGGGGTCAGTTATTTAAAATAGTGTAGAGTATGTGTGAATAGAGCCAGTGATAAGTCTAACAGTGTTGTTGATTATTCATCCTTCGTGGTAGCTACCTTAATAAATCGAACCCAAACACCCCATCATTCAAGTCCAAGGTGAGTTCCTTTAACTTAGTCGTTTACTGAGTGTTGGGGTGCTACAGTACTTTGGTCCAAAATGTTCCAGTTGTATGTTTAAAGTGTACATGTGGATTAAACCACTCTGAAGGCATAGACAAGCATTAAAAAGGATTTACGTAATACATTAACAATAAACAGGAAATACTGCTTCACTACAATCTAAATGAAAATATTAGAAGCATTTGAAAAGGATTTAAAATGCAACACTTTACTTTAAGCATTCACTAACAATATATAAAGATGTAATTGATGATTAATAACACACTGTGATGTAGTTATTAGCAGTTATACATTCAGTGGTTCTTTATTAGGTAAACCTGTAAAATCTATTACAGTCCAGATCAACAGCTCTATGTTATCAGAGTAGCGTAGCTCCTTTAAGCAATAGAGCAGTGTGTGATGTGTGAGCGTAACGTATGTGTGTGTGTGTGTGTGTGTGTGTGTGTGTGTGTGTGTGTGTGTGTGTGTGTGTGCGTGTGTGTGTGTGTGTGTGTGTGTGGTAGAGCGAGAGAGAGAGAGCGGGTGTGTGTGAACAAGAGTGACTGTGTGTGACGGTGAACGGCAGCAGAGAGACACAGGTTAGCCATAGGTTTTTGGGTTTAGCAGTCAGTGTACAGTGTGAGTTACAGTTGTAAAGTGAAGTTTCTGTGTATTGTTTACCAACTGCTGAAGATAAAGTGAAGACGTTAGCCCCGACAGTTAGAGTCAACTTTGGCCCTGGAGGAAACTCTCCCCCTAAATTCTACATTTACAAAGACAATGGTGTTCAGATTTGACTGACACTGTCAGAGAGGTATTAATGTAAAGATATCTTTATTGTTTAAGGTTTTAGTTTTCCGTGTTATCGTACTGGTCTACATTTTATTGAGAGGTCACAATTGTTGTGTTGTTTACTTACTGAATAACTTCTTTACCAGCTGTTAGTTTACTGAACCTGTAACGCAGCGCTGCCGGGACTCCTTTATCCTGCACAGTTGTCATCATCTTCTGAGGTTCAGTTTCTTTCAGGAAGTCAGTGAATTGGCAGATGTGGTCAGCTGTTATGCTCCATGCATTTTTTAGAGCAAACTCATTTTTCTTTGTTTTCTGTGTGCTCTGGCGGTTGTTGAACAGGAAATAAACCGGCTCATTGTCCTCATCTTTAGCATATTTAATATTTGCATCTTCTAGAGCTTGAAGAACATTTTCAGGTGGCAGACCATCTGAGTGAGTGATGAGGGCAACAATGTTCTTCTCCATATCTTTTCCAAACAGAGACATCACTGAATCAAAGATGTACCTCAGTCGGTCACTCACTCGGTTCTCAGTAGCTTTCAGCACCAGACCCACTGCATTGATCTCATGGACTCCGTCCTCTGAGCGGAACAAGTCCAATAATCTGTGTTTGACTGCTTCATCTTCTTCAATCCCTCTGGTATCTCCGTATCCAGGAGTATTGATGATGGTCAGAGAGTAGGGCAGAGTTTTACCTTCAAAACCAAAGATCTCATAAATAATCACATCTGATGTCTGACTCTCTGACTGACTTCTCTTCTCCTCCTCTACGATCTGAAACCAGACATCGTCCTCCCACTTCACTCCCATGGTGTAGTTGACCAGAGTGTCGATCAGAGTAGATTTTCCTGTTCCTGTTTCACCAACAAGTAAAATGGTTCTGTTTGTCTTGTTCAGATCTTTTTCACCAAGAGTCATTCTTGTTAGAGTTCCAATCTTCTCTTTCTTTGGTTTCAGCTGGTAGACAGTGGGAGATCCTGATTGGATCAGAGCACTTTTAGAGATGATGTCATATTTCAGTGAGGTGTTATTCTTCCTGTTGAAAAAGTAGATCATTTACACATTAAATTTCATGTATATGTTTTAGTCTTTAGTTATTTTCTATTCATTGTTAAAATCTACATCAAAATAAATATAATAAAACTAAAGGAAGTGTCTATATAGGTGCTGACGGTCAACAGTAAGTGTACAATGTCATCCTGTCACAGACAGATGCAGAAAAACTAATCCATGCATTTGTTACTTCAAGGCTGGATTACTGCAACTCTTTATTATCAGGTTGCCCCAATAAGTCCATTAAAACGCTCCAATTAATTCAGAACGCTGCAGCACGAGTACTGACAGGAACTAGAAAAAGAGATCACATCTCTCCTGTACTAGCTTCTCTGCACTGGCTCCCTGTAAAATGTAGAATAGAATTTAAAATCCTCCTCCTCACCTATAAAGCTCTTCATGGTCAGGCCCCTTCATATCTTAAAGAGCTCATAGTACCCTATTACCCCACTAGAACACTACGTTCTCTGAATGCTGGGCTACTTGTGGTTCCTATAGTCTCTAAAAGTAGAACAGGAGCCAGAGCCTTCAGTTACTATTCATTATTCCCCATTGTTGTGACTGTTGTCTTCATTATCATCATCATCATTTGAATTGGTGTTATACAAATAAAACAGAATTTAATTTAATTTAATTTAATGTACTGATTTGAACAGAAGTACTATAGCCCAGTGTAAAAGTACAGTGGTTAAAAAAAACAATATTAAATAATTCAGTAATAAAATTAAACTGCAAGTAATTTAGGTTAAAAGGTTAGGTTGAAAGATGAAATGTTAACAAAGAGATTAATATAAATTCATAATAAATAAAGTAGAGTGTAAATAGTTAATAAAGTAGTTACATTAAACTGTTCTATATAGTAGTTGAAGAAAAATGTGTGGTAAACTAAATAGGAATATAGAGATTTGTGTCGTTGGTTCATGCTGTTTCATTTGATTGGTTGCTGTAGGTATCACTCAATGTCACCTGTTGGTAATTGGCCATAGGTAAGGGAGTGAACGAAAAAGGAGCGGGAGAGAAAAAGCCACAACAAAAAAAAAGGTTAAGCACAGAATTGGGAAATAATTTATATTTTATGCTTCATAAACAGTCAAACCAGAAGGGGTCAACTTGCCCCCAGAGGACAACAGGTGTCATTATGTGTCACCATTAAAAAAATCGAAATGCTTTCAAACAGTGTCCTGACTAAACAGTCAGGTAACGTACCACGACAGTAACGCACATGCTTCTGGATTTTCTGTGTGACTGTTATAGAATAAAGATTTGTCAGCCGCACCGCACGCGAGCAACACACAGGCCTACAACTTTTTTATTTGTGTGTGTGTGTGTGTGTGTGTGTGTGTGTGTGTGTGTGTGTGTGTGTGTGGGTCCGTTGTTTTATTTTGTTTAGTTAAGTAGCCTATCTGATCTGAGTCTGGTAAGTATAAAGAAATCGTATTAAAGGGGTAAGAACAAGGAATTTTAGCAGAGACCTGAGATAATTTAAGTTTTGAATAGTATTTTAATATTGCCAATACTATTTTATAAGTGTCTAATTTTCTACGGTGTTTTTGCCCATTTTGGTAAAGGTACATTTGTTTAAAATGTAGTATTTCAAATATAATATTGTATTTTCAAGGATTTGAGTAATTGTGTTATTTTATTTTATTTTTTTAACTAACAAAGTAAATATTATTTGTGTTACACTGCTAGAAACTGGTCAGTAAAATATTATTTCATTTATTTGAAAGAGTTGTCGGGGGTCAGTTATTTAAAATAGTGTAGAGTATGTGTGAATAGAGCCAGTGATAAGTCTAACAGTGTTGTTGATTATTCATCCTTCGTGGTTGCTACCTTAATAAATCGAACCCAAACACCCCATCATTCAAGTCCAAGGTGAGTTCCTTTAACTTAGTCGTTTACTGAGTGTTGGGGTGCTACAGTACTTTGGTCCAAAAGGTTCCAGTTGTATGTTTAAAGTGTACATGTGGATTAAACCACTCTGAAGGCATAGACAAGCATTAAAAAGGATTAACGTAATACATTAACATTAAACAGGAAATACTGCTTCACTACAATCTAAATGAAAATATTAGAAGCATTTGAAAAGGATTTAAAATGCAACACTTTACTTTAAGCATTTACTAACAATATATAAAGATGTAATTAATGATTAATAACACACTGTGATGTAGTTATTAGCAGTTATACATTCAGTGGTTCTTTATTATGTAAACCTTTAAAATCTATTACAGTCCAGATCAACAGCTCTATGTTATCAGAGTAGCGTAGCTCCTTTAAGCAATAGAGCAGTGTGTGATGTGTGAGCGTAACGTATGTGTGTGTGCGTGTGTGTGTGTGTGTGTGTGTGTGTGTGTGTGTGTGTGTGTGTGTGTGTGTGTGTGTGTGGTAGAGCGAGAGAGAGAGAGCGGGAGTGTGTGAACAAGAGTGACTGTGTGTGACGGTGAACGGCAGCAGAGAGACACAGGTTAGCCATAGGTTTTCGGGTTTAGCAGTAAGTGTACAGTGTGAGTTACAGTTGTAAAGTGAAGTTTCCGTGTATTGTTTACCAACTGCTGAAGATAAAGTGAAGACGTTAGCCCTGAAAGTTAGAGTCAACTTTGGCACTGGAGGAAACTCTCCCCTTAAATTCTACATTTACAAAGACAATGGTGTTCAGATTTGACTGACACTGTCAGAGAGGTATTAATGTTAATATATCTTAATTGTTTAAGGTTTTAGTTTTCCGTGTTATCGTACTGGTCTACATTTTATTGAGAGGTCACAATTGCTGTGTTGTTCACTTACTGAATAACTTCTTTACCAGCTGCTGTTAGTTTACTGCACTCGTACCCCAGAGCTGGCAGGACTCCTTCATTCTCTTGACTTTTCATCTCTTCCAGTTTCTGGACCTTCTGGTAGGACATTTTTGTTTCTAGATTTCCCAAAAGGCTCAACCTGCTCTCACTTTCTGTCTTGTCCTTTTCATACTTCTCTTTCACTTCTTCTAGGGTCTTCTGAACTTTTCTTGTCTTGTTTTCATAGATCCACTTTTCTTTTACATGATCTGATACAGGACACTCTGCAGTACATGAAGTGCAGTGGCCACCTCTCATAACTTGACATTGTCCTGGACTCCAGGCCATTTTGCATCCAGGGTAGTGACAGTGCTCTTCACAGACTGTACAGAAGACCTTTACTTCATTAAACAATATCGACATCCCACCATCAATAGGTTCTTTATCTTTGTAGCTCTCATCAACATCTACAGTGAACTTCTCATTGTTCTTTATCTTTTGTTCATATTTCTTCATCTCTTCCAGAGTCTGTTGGATTTCTTTCTGTTTTACTTCAAGAAACTCAACTCTCTCTTCCAGGTTTTGGATGCAGGCTGTCAGTCTGATTCGTTCATTCGGATCATCCACGGTCATCTTCAGCTTTTGAGGTTCAAGTTTTTCTATAAAGTCTGTAAACTGACTGATTCCTTTTGTGGTTGTTTTATTTGCATGTTTAAGGACATGTATTTTCTCTGTCCTGTCTTCATCCTGACAGTTATCAAACAGGAAGTGAACAGGCGGATTCTTTACATCTTTGTCAAAATTAATCTTTGCAGCCTCGAGGGCTTGAAGAACATTTTCAGGTGGCAGACCATCTGAGTGAGTGATGAGGGCAACAATGTTCTTCTCCATGTCTTTTCCAAAGAGAGACACCACTGAATCAAAGATGTACCTCAGTCGGTCACTCACTTGGTCCTCAGTAGCTTTCAGCACCAGACCCACTGCATTGATCTCATGGACTCCGTCCACTGAGCGGAACAAGTCTAATAATCTGTGTTTGACTGCTTCATCATGTTCAATCCCTCTGGTATCTCCGTATCCAGGAGTATCAATGATGGTCAGAGAGTAGGGCAGAGTTTCATCTTCAAAACCAAAGATCTCATAAATGATCACATCTGATGTCTGACTCTCTAACTGACTTCTCTTCTCGTCCTTCTCGTCCTTTTCGTCCTCTACGATCTGAAACCAGACATTGTCCTCCCACTTCACTCCCATGGTGTAGTTGACCAGAGTGTTGACCAGAGTAGATTTTCCTGCTCCTGTTTCACCAACAAGTAAAATGGTTCTGTTTGTCTTGTTCAGATCTTTTTCACCAAGAGTCATTCTTCTTATAGTTCCAATCTTCTCTTTCTTTGGTTTCAGCTGGTAGACAGCGGGAGATCCTGATTGGATCAGATTACTCTTCAAGATGAAGTCCTCATATGTCAATGATGTTTTATTATTCCTGTTGATGAAGTAGATAATTTACACATTTGATTTAATTTATAGTTTTTCTATTCATTGTTAAAATCTACATCAAATGAAATATAATACAACTAAATACAATGTACTGATTACTGATTTAAACAAAAGTTATTTTGTCTAACATGTTTCAGTTGTATGTTGAAAGTATCCTAGTGTTGTAAAGGCATTCTTCTGATTTTGAGAAGGGATTACAACCACTCTGAGGGCAATTCAAAGGGAAATTTTAAAAGATATGCACTCAGAGGTACTTTATTAGAAACAGCTGTCAAACCTAATGCAGTCCAATACAACAGCTCCGACATAAATTCTACAATAACAGATCAATAATGTTCAGGTTTGACTGACACTGTCAGAGAGCATTAATGTAAATATATGATTATTATTAAGGTTGTAGTCTGCAGTGTTGTACTGGACGACATCATACTGAGAGCTCACAGTGACGCTGGAACTTACTTCATCAGACCTTTACCAGCTGTTAGTCTACTGGACCCGTAACGCAGCGCTGCCTGGACTCCTTTATCTTCGTCTACTCGTCTTTTCATCTCTTCCAGTTTCTGGACCTTCTCTGTGTCTCCTTTCTCCTTCATCTTCTCAATCAGGAAGTCCAAGTGGACAAGAGTGGACAGTGAATCAGTATTCAGGGCGATCTGCTCCAGTTTGACAACCTGCTGGAAGGACTCTTCCAACCATCGATCTTTCTCTTTCTGAAGTTCTTCCATTTGCTTTTCTAGATTTTCCAAAAGGCTTGTTGTCTCCTCACAGTCTGATTTACTCTTTTCATACTTCTTCATGTCTTGCTGGGTCTTCAGAGTCTGTTGGATTTCTTTTTGTTTTAGTTCAATCAACTCAACTCTCTCTTTCAGGTTTTGGATGCAGGCTGTCAGTCTGATTCGTGAATTTAACACTTCAATAGTTGTCTTCAGCTTCTGGGGTGAAGTTTCTTTAAGGAAGTGTGTGAATTGACTCATTCCGTCTATTGTTAAGTCCCATGCACTCTTTAAAGCACAACTGTTTCTGTCTGTTTTCTGTTTGCTCTGGCAGTTATTGAACATAAAATGAACCGGCTGATTCTCCTCATCTTTGGCACATTTAATTTTTTCGACAGCTTGAAGAAAACTTTCAGGTGGCAGACCATCTGAGTGAGTGATGAGGGCAACAATGTTCTTCTCCATATCTTTTCCAAACAGAGACATCACTGAATCAAAGATGTATGACAGTGGGTCACTCAGTCGACATTCGGTCGCTTTCAGCACCAGACCCACTGCATTGATCTCTTGGACTCCGTCCTCTAAGCGGAGCCAGTCTAATAATCTGTGACTGACAATGGCATCTTGTTCAATCCCTCTGGTATCTCCGTATCCAGGAGTATCGATGATGGTCAGAGAGTAGGGCAGAGTTTTATCTTCAAAACCAAAGATCTCATAAATAATCACATCTGATGTCTCTGACTGACTTCTCTTCTCCTCCTCTACGATCTGAAACCAGATATCTTCCTCCCACTTCACTCCCATGGTGTAGTTGACCAGAGCGTTGACCAGAGTAGATTTTCCTGTTCCTGTTTCACCAACAAGTAAAATGGTTCTGTTTGTCTTTGCAGGGTCTTTTTCTCCAACAGTTATTCCTGTCCAAGTTCCAAACTTCTTTTTGTTTGGTCTCAGCTGGAAGAGAAAAGGAGGTCCTGGACGGATCAGAACACCGTTTGAGATGATGTCTTTATAAATTGATGGGATGTTAATAATCCTGTCGAAAAAGCATAAGTTCAATCAAAACTCACTGTTCAAATCGATAAGTAATTACAAATCAGTCCAGCCCTCACTCTTAAGGTGTGTTCAGACTGTGTGTCTTCTTACGTAACTGATGAAATAACATTTTTGCTGGTAAAACAGACTGAAAACACACACCATCTGTTATTAATCACTCAATGAGAAGCTGGAAACACGTGATTCAATCCACTTACTGAGCATCTTTAGTGGCTTTGACCACTGGAGGTCGCAGCGGAGCCTCTTCTGAAACAGAAGATTTTGTCTTGTCAAACAAATCCTTTTTAAATTACATGTCAATTTATGTGCTTTATATTACAACGAGTACAGCCACAAGGAACATTTTGAATACATATGTACAGAAGAAAAACCTAACATAAACCACATGCAGTCAGACATGGTAACTAAGCTAAATAAGCTGGTTCATAAATCAAAAAATAGAAAATGTTTTAACTTGCTTCTGAATGTGGACAAAGACAGATCTCAGGTCCATATTTATCAAATTGATCAAAGAGACATTTTAGATTTAAAGGTTCAGTGTGTAGGATTCAGTAACATCTAGCATTCAACATGGTGGACTCAGAGGACCCACAGTAAAACCAAATGTTGAAATTATTTAAAATAGATACATTTTTAATTTTGAAAATGTCAGAAATGGATTCAGCAACAACCCCCAAACCCCCTATATTGTCCAAATCAGCCAAACAGTTGCTCAAATATTGTCCATATAGGTGATTATGTTTATTAATGCTAATTGTACAAATTGCTCAATTTATGTTAGCCTCTGGCAGTTTCTAAATGCTGGGGACTCATATTGAGATATTTATATGAATATATTGAATATCTCAAGGTTTTATAGTGGAAATGTACAGTATGATTGATAGATAGATAGATAGATAGATAGATAGATAGATAGATAGATAGATAGATAGATAGATAGATAGATAGATAGATAGATACTTTATTTATGCCTGAATTTCCCTCGGGATAAATAAAGGATCTATCAATCAATCATACTCCACCAGTTTTATGTTTTGGTCTTCTTGCTGCAAACCTCGTGCTGCTGTTCTAAAGCTTGATGACAATGTCTCCACCAGATCAGCTCTGTCAGTCTTCTCTAGAATCATCTTCACTACCTCTACAGACTGCTGGTTATACTTCTGGATTATTTTATCCACTGTGTCCTTCCTGTCTGCTTTCTCCAGTTCGCTCCTAGGGATGACTCCGAGGTCTCCCAGGATGTCAGAGTCCTGCAGGAACCATTTGAATGTCCTGAATTCTTCATCTCCCAGATATTTCAGTGTCTTCCACAGCACCTCTCTAACAGACAATGCCCCCCCCTTTGACATGATTCATCACTGTAAAAAAGAATAAATAAAACATGATGCTGAACAAGGAGGAAGAGTTGAGCAAAGCAAAGCAAATGTGAGCAAATCAGAAAACAGCAAAGCTTCTTATTAAAATATGATCACTTAAACTAGGAAATATTGACTCTATGTTCAGATATACAAGAATCTGTGGAAGTACGTCTCCATTACTGAGGTGCCGACTCTAATGTTAGTTGTTCTAAGAAATTTACAATTTTCTCCTCTTCTCTTAAATTTCTGTGTAACATTACTTTTTACAACAATGTCTATGAAATGGTGAAGAAGCTGTGCAGTTATCAGCTGCTCCAACAATAGTGGCAACCTCCAACTTTGTGAGAAAACTGAATGTGAAACACACAAGCTTTTACTTCATGAGGAGTGTCTGAGACTATACACTGGGCAGGATTCCCTGCAGACCAAGGGAAGGACCGATATATTCAAGCCAGACAATAAGTGAAATAATATTGAATATCTATGAAAAACATAGTGTATATATAATAAATGTATAATTACTTCACTAATATAACTAGTTGATGCAAAGAAAGCTAGCTAGTACAGTAGTATAACTCAGTTTTCTTTCTATTTCTGGATATTGTCATAGCAAATGCCTAATAGGTAGAATTTGAATGATGCAAAGATCTCCTCCATATAAGGCACCTTCATCAGTAACAGCCTAACATCATCAGTCCAACTGCACATGCTGCTGTCAGTCACTTCAACTGTCCACAGCTAGATGGCAGAACACACAAACTTAACTGAAACTTTGATTTGTGTAAAGAATGGCCCTGGGTCTATTATTAGAAAGTTAATACTGTAATAATGCTTTTTAATATTTGGGTTGCTGTGTATTTGTATATATTATGTGCTTTATGGCAGATCCTCTCTCTGTATTATCATTTAACAGTGAGCAGTTGTGAAACACTGAAGTGTCAGCTGTGTGAGATCACTGTCATACAGGGAGAGCAAGGAGATAAAAGATTTATCATCTGCAGAGTTATGACACATTTGCTCCTTTACATGATCCAACTACACATCTGATACTTCTATTGAACAAACTATAGTAACGTTATGACTCTAATCTCCATTATCACATACATAATGCTGCCTGTATTACAGTATGTTTGATTGTTTACCAGCATAATGAGGAAGTGCATCTGAAGACTGTTTACTGCCAACACAAAATGTTAATACTGAACATATCTGAGACAATACCTTCAATCAGCCTTACCTTGTTACTGACAACACAATATCCTGATGTAATAGAAATAGTTGTAAGCTTGTAAGCTGCAGGAATATTCAGTATATCCACACTGAAACTTCCTTGTGTAAGAGCTGCAAACGAAAGTAAAAAAACAAGGAAATAAAAGCAGGTAGGTGTGTCCAGTGTGAGAAGATACAGATCTAAGAACCAGTAGGCGGATCCAGGGGCCATTCCTGCAGAATAAAGTGTTTATGACTTTAAAGAGGCCATATAATGTTCACTTTCAGCTTCTACTTGTTTTTGGGGGTCTACTATAATAGGTTCACATGCTTTAATGTTAAAATACACATATACCTAACTTATACACCTTAAAGGAGTCATATTATACCCTATTTCAACAAGTTAACCTAGTTCCCTGGTGTCCTAATGTAATGTCTGTGACATGCTTTGGTCAAAATACCATAAGGATGAAGCACAATAGCAGTTCAATCACCCTGCCAAAACAGCCCTGTTCAGAGCGCCCGGTTTTGAGTGCCTGTCTCTTTAAATGCAAATGAGACACAGGTAATCCACCCACTTCTTCCAGGAGGCAATTTTACGAATCCTACTATGGCCACGCCAAGTCCCGCCCTATGCCTACCTCTGATTGGCATTCTTCCCTCCCCCTTTCCTTTTCTCCCCCTCTGCTCTGATCCTAGTGTCTGCCTTTTCCCCTGTCTTTCTTTGTTGACCTTAGCTTGTTGTTGTTTGTTGTTTGTCTTTTCAATTCTAACCTCCCCCACACCTTGTCCTAACCCTAACCTCTTCTCCCCTTGCCTAAACCTAAAAACCCTAACCCCTCAGCCAGCCCTGGACCTTTGACCCCTCACCTCGTTGAGCTCAGCCAATCAGAGGTAGGCATAGGGCGGGACTTGGCGTGGCCATAGTAGGATTCGTAAATTAGCTTCCGGGAGGTGTGCCGACGTTGGCACGCTCACGCTACCATGACAACAGTTGAACGTGAACCCTGGGAGAAAGATGGCAGCTGGAAGAAACCTTTCGGTCCAACCATATATGTTTGAACCAGAGTCAGACCCTGAACAAGAAGGAGCTAGCGAAGAAGTTGTTCAATGTAGACTGCAACAAGACGTTTCTGAATGGTGAGTTATGAGCTTTATTTTACTTTTTTTTTTAAAATGTGTATGTTTGTACGTCGGGTAAATACGGTCGCTGACTAAATACGGTCGACCGCTGTTTGTGTAACTCACTGTTTATAAACATAAGTAGCATGCTATTCCCGTTACACGAGTACATTTCACAAGTCCACAATATCAGCTACGAGTGGGAATATAGCACTAATTTTTTTTAATCTCGGCTACACCGTAATAACGTTACATCATTATTCTGTCCGACATCAAACGTTAATGTAATATCCACAGCCACACTGTAGCCACTTTTCACGCGTGTGTGCTAATTTTACAACCTAGGTGTGAAACAGGGGATGTAGTGGGGGTTACGGTGATACCCCATAGTAATGTCTATTTACCCGTATTTACTGTGTTTCAACATGATGCAATAATTCCAACGAATAACGTCACATCGTTGCATAAGCTGACCTGTCGTCATTGCTAACAACATATTCAAATAAAATATGACTATAACTGATATCTTTTCCTTTTTTTTGCCTCTGGTTTAGGTGTACTTAATAATAAAACATTTTATTTAAAGGCGCCTCTCTGAGCACTCGAGGACACCGTACAACACATAAAAATAAAATGAATAATAAAAAATACTTGTGAGAATTGCACAACAATGCCTACAGAGCCAGAGAATGTCTGCTGCAGGGAGGTGCCACAGGTAGTACGTGGATGCTTGTTGAATGAAAATGTAACTATTCAGTCATATTATCTGTCATCAAACGTCACTTACCCTTTCAAATTTAAAGGTTATAAGAAGAATAAATCAGCTTCAAAACCCACCTTCCTGCATGGTAGACCACCCTGGCCTCCAACCAGTGTGTTTAAATGCATTCTCACTGCAGGAACTAAATATCTACAGAGCAGACTATGGGCGTTTACGTCTGAGGGGAATTCATACTTTGCAGTCACGTGGTCACCATGGTTACCTGGCAGGCAAGAAACATATATATTTACATATATCCGTCACCTTACACCGCACAAAAAATGAAAGCCTACAAAAGTACGGATAGCTATCTTTTCTTCAAGAGTGGATGGGTTAACAACGCTGTCGTATGGGAGGTGAAGAACAGGAATATCTTCATAATCAAAGCAAATGGGAGTGTTACTAGTTAGCCAGCTAACGTTACCTGCTAACGTTTGCTAATGTTTGCATGTCTGTAGATATACACAAAGTGACCGTCGTGTGATGAAGTCTTCATCTGAATATGGACACCCTGCCTGCTGGCGAATGACAGCTTGATAAGTAACATTAGTTTAAAAAAAACCTTATGCCAACTAGACTGTATCATATATGACTAACAGGATGTCAAACATTGTAGCCTACCTGCTCATCCACTCCACATAGCATCAGACAACAGACAGACAAAACAACAGACAAAGAGCAGCTGGAGCAGCGAAATGCCTTTAATCCTGTTAGCAGTCTGTTAGGTTGTAACGTTAATGTAGTAGTAATAACTGTACAATAGTATGTATGCAAAGTAACATAAGTAAGTAAGTACAACAGTAACAGAAAGTCTGTGAACTGTCTCAGTCCTTCTGTTGATATTGTATCTGCATTTTCAAGGTATTCTGTGTCCTCTGTCCTGTCTTCATCCTGACAGTTATTGAACAGGAAGTGAACAGGCTGATTCTTTTCATCTTTACCTAACTTAATGTTTGTATCCTGGAGGGCTTTCAGAACATTTTTAGGAGTTCTTCCATTTGAGTGAGTAATGAGGGCAACAATGTTCTTCTTCACATCTTTTCCAAACAGAGACTGAATCAAAGATGTACCTCAGTCAGTCACTCACTCGATTCTCAGTTGCTTTCAGCACCAGACCCACTACATTGATCTCATGGACTTTGTCCTCTGAGCGGAACAAGTAGAATAATCTCTGACTGGCGATGACATCATGTGTAATCCCTCTTGTATCTCTGTATCCAGGAGAATCGATGATGGTCAGAGAGTAGGGCAGAGTTTCATCTTCAAAACCAAAGATCTCATAAAGGCTCACATCTGATGTCTGACTCTCTGACTGACTTCTCTTCTCGTCCTCTACGATCTGAAAACAGACATCGTCCTCCCACTTACCAACAAGTAAAATGGTTCTGTTTGTCTTGTTCAGATCTTTTTCACCAAGAGTCGTTCTTGTTAGAGGTCCAATGTCCCTGTTTGGTCTCAGCTGGACGAGAAAAGGAGGTCCTGGTTGAATTATGAATTGATGAAATGTTAATAATCCTGTGGAAAAAGCATAAGTCCAATCAAAACTCACTGTTCAAATCGATTGGCAATTACAAATCAGTCCAGCCCTCACTCTTAACCCTTTAAGCCTGATTCTGAAGGGGAAAATCTACGTTTGGGAGATGACGGACGGTCGATTAGTGAGTGTGATAGTCACCGTGCGTCTTTGCATTGCAATGGCGCTGCCGGGCAAAGCGAGGAAACACACAAGCACAAACACACGACCCTTTGCCCAACATAGGTGGGAGTGCAAATGATACACAAACTCGTAGTATCGGTAGGGGAGCTAATGGATGTGGTAGAAGTAGCGGGAGTGGTGAGAATAGCGTTAGTGTTCACTCTTTCTACCGCACCGGTCACAGTGCGTCCATTCGCGGCAGTGGTTTGCCGGCCCATTTGTTAGGCTGTGTGTGAAAACGCCTACTGTTTACATGAGTTTTATGGTGTAGTAATAGTTCTAGTTTACGACTGTTGGCTTACAATTTGTGGACGACATAACAAATGGACGAGGTGAATCTAGTGAAATAAGTTAACTCTCTTTCAAAATATTCATGGAAATAACATAATCCAATATGGCCGCCGCCATATGACGTCATAATATGCACATTAGATGGGAACATTTACTCCCTCGATAAACTTTAGGTCATTCTCAATATTTGTCTCATTTACACTATGTACTTTTGAAGTCTTAAAGTGGACATGAAACGTGCATGTTTTGGCACAGTGAAAAACATGTTAGAAAAAACACATTGCCAAAAGTATTATTTAAAAAAGTTGTTAAAACCACAGATATTACACATTTATCTTTGCGATTTCTAGCTAGCTAGAAGTCGCCATTTTGGAGTGACGTCATTGCCTACGTAGCGAGGTGGGTTGGTTCGCCGTGCGGTTGATTATACGCTGGTTTGAAAATGGACGAAGACGAGGTGGAGAGAGTTGCTGATGTTGTGAGTCAGCTGGCGTATGCTTTCGAGCCTATCCGACGTGGGGCAAGAGCAGTGGTACGGGTTGCAGATGAAGAGGAGTTGGTGCAGTGGTACGGGTTGCAGGCGAAGAGGAGCCGGTGCAGTGGTACGGGTTGCGGACGAAGAGGAGCCGGTGCAGTGGTACGGGTTGCAGACGTAGTGGAGCCGGTGCAGTGGTACGGGTTGCAGACGTAGTGGAGCCGTTGCAGTGGTACGGGTTGCAGACGTAGTGGAGCCCAGGTTGCGAGTGGTGGAGCGGGGTGGTGCGGACGTAGTGGAGCCGTTGCAGTGGTACGGGTTGCAGACGTAGAGGAGCCGGTGCAGTGGTACGGGTTGCGGACGTAGTGGAGCCGTTGCAGTGGTACGGGTTGCGGACGTAGTGGAGCCGGTGCAGTGGTACGGGTTGCAGACGTAGTGGAGCCGTTGCAGTGGGCTGAGGAGACGATCAGCAACCCTACCTGGTGTCGGTGCGACGCTGCAGGGCAATGCCGACCGTATCCGAGTCAACATGCTGTCAGGAGGCTGCGCTGGACCATGTGTTGCAGGGTCACTTCTGCATCACCATGGTGCAAAGTTTCAGCATGTTATGCCAGGAAGTGGATGTTTGGAGGTGGCGATGCTGTCACTGAGAGATGTCCGAGCAGAAACCCTGGAGCATCCTATCAATAGCTGGTAAGTCAAACTAGCTTAGTGCCACAATGTTAACCTTATTCAGTGATCTAAATAAAATACACCACCTGGTGTTGTCCATAGACAGGAATATGACAGCGTACAGTGCGAACAACATTT